TCTCCTCCTCCTCCTCCTCCTCCTCCTCCTCCTCAACCGCCTGCTGTCACAGTTTGTATTTGAGTTTTCTAACATCAGAAAATACTATGATTTTGACACTAGTCATAAACATTATATTTCATTAAGATATTCTGAATTAGGCCTTTTTCTGAATTTAGCATTTTGTGATTAAGACGTGGGATATGGCGGTATTATTCAGGTTTTAGGAGCATTATCAGAACAGTATACAGCGCATTCAGGGCATGGATCTCAGACTGTGGTTGAAGGAATAAAAGAGGGAGGCTGTGTTCATGCGCTCCAACAAATCCACCGCCTTTGTGAAACTTAAAAGAAATCCTATTATGATACTAAGAAGAAAAATGTTACAAGCAGCTCCTGTAGTTCCTAACTGCCATATTTTGACCAAGCGACATTCTCCGAGGCTGAAAAATGAAGCCAATGCAGAAGTGCCAAAAACTGCAGTTCCTCTAATGGCCACTTGAGGCTGGTTCCAAAACAGAGTAAACCCTCACAGACACCCACGTAGAAATGTCCAACTTTACAGCAGAAATAAACATGTTCACAGCCTGGTACGGAAGAGTTTTGGTCTCAATAGTTAATTTCAACATTTATTACAACTGCATGGGCGTGAAATTCTATATGACTAATCTGTTCACATTCTATTATGGCCCAAAGTTACACATATTTAAGGGCGGGGCTGCTCTGACTGACAGGCTGTCTGTGAGGCGTCACTACACCGTGTGAGTCAGATCTGCTCCTCCACAGCTCCAACCTCTCATCTACATATGTTCACTTCTGGCTTCAAAAAAACAAAATGGTGATAGCATTCCACGAACCAATGGGTGACATCATGGAAGCTGCGTCTAGTTTTTATACAGTCTGTGATTTTGACACGATAAACGACATGATAGGCACTTTAATCAGTCGCAGGGCTGCATGTAAACAGGAACATTAGTAGAACATTCATTTTCATTATCCGTGTAAACAGCTCAGTAGATATATTGTCTTTTTCAGAAAGAGGGCAAAAACCGTAATATTTTATGCATGTAAGCGTTGTCATTGATCAGGTGTGTATCGTTTGATCATGAAGTTAAAGCGGATGTGGGACGTGTTGGTCACAGGTGAACATCGACTCTCACAGAGCTCCTGGCTACCAACAAGTGGTGCGACTTGCTGAGTGTCTAGTGGAGCGCTGCAAAAGAGGGTACATCTACGACAGCGGAGTGGAGGAAATTGTGAAGCTTTGGGAGAATCTCGACGAGGTCGATAAGGCCCGTGTGAAGTACCCTCCACGCTACAAAGTCGTGGAAGACTTTTACAAATGGTAGGTGTCAATGCATTCTGTTCTGATAGCCGGGTGCATGTTAGTAAATACCTGGATCCATCACACAGCCAACAGATCTATGATTGTCTCTGAAAATAAACATGAACAGATTGTATTAAATGCTACTAAACCCTGTCACCACTTTTTGGTTTCAGCCGCATCATAACACCCAGAGATCGAGGAACATGGCCTGACGCCACCAGACTTGTGGAGGCCATCTTTGTCCGGCTGTGCGTCCTCCACCAGAGCAGCAGCATCAGGGAGAGGGGTCGTTTAATCCCCCGCTTGACTCTAGTTCTGAGGGACTATAGAATGATCAGGGACACTGTATTGTCCCACCCGCGAGTCATGTCCAGAACAACTCTCCAGCTTTTTTCTGTGAGCAAGAAAACCGTGTCTGAGTGGTGAGAGCCTCGTCTTTATTCACAGTCTTATCTTTGTTATCTGGAGCTGCACATCCAGGTTCAGAGTGACAGAGTAGACGAGCAGTGTTCCTGTATGATATGATTGATATGTAAAATACTGCAGCACAGTAAACACCAGTAATGTTCACTTTAGCATAAAAACGTCAATTAAAATCATGTGTAGAAAACCGTCAGCTCTGTTTTTACTCTGCAGGCACCAAAGATGGGTCAACAACCAGGAGAGGAACTTCCTGTCTCCATTTATCCACAACATGCAAGAAACTGGCACCGCAGCATCCTCCACCTCTGCTTTATCCATTCCTGCAGCTTCCAACAACTCTGCAGCCTCCTCCACCCAAGCATCTTCCCCTGTCTCAGCAGCTCCTTCCACTCCTACACCTTCTTTCACCCCTGTAACTTCCTTCACCCCAGCAGCTTCCTCCACCCCAGCACTTTCCTCCACCCCAGCAGCCTCCCCCACCTCTGCTTCCTCCATCCCTGCAGCCTCCAGCAACTCTGCACCTTCTTTCACCCCTGCAGCTTCCTCCACCCAAGCAGCTCCCTCCACTTCTGCACCCTCCTCCACTCCTTCAGCCTCATCCACCCCAGCAGCTTCCTCCACCCTCCTCCACGGTCCCGCAGCACAGCCTATCGGAGGAGGCTGAGGGAGAAGGAGCAGCGTCTGGCCCAGGAGCGAGGTGTTACCCTCATACAGCAGAGGAGGATGATGGAGACTTACACATGTAAGCAGTGTGGACGGCCAAAGACCAAAGAGTTCGGTCACAGCCAGTACGGAGGAGAACACTTCTGCTCCAAGGCCCAGGGTCGCTCTGCAGGGGAGTGGTTGGAGGAGAAGAGGAGGCAGCATCAGAACAGTTAGCTCCACACAACACTTTCTGACTCTTTATGTCCTGTTGCTGTGTCTGGACCTTTTGTTTCATTTGCACACACAGGTTGTGTTTTCTGCTGTTGTTCAGAGTGAAATATGTTTTAATTTAATTTACACTGAAAGTGTCTTGTAGAGGAAACAGCTGTGTCTCTTTAGTTCGACCTCTCGATCTGTGAATTCAAAGCTGCTTTGTGTGTGCGTAAGTTTCAGGATTGTAAATACTTCAGGTGTCTTCAGACAGTGAAGTGAGTGTCCAGCCTTCCAGTCTCTCGTCTTGAGCATATTTACGTGTGCACCAGTGTCCTGGTTGTGACAGACCTGCAGTACTCTGACAGGTGACTGTATTGCTGCTGTTGTTTTCCATCAGTGGTGATCAGAGAAGCTGAATCTAGTCAGAGAGCAGCTGAGGGGAGAGAGCTCTGTACAGAAACATGATGTTCAGGAATCAAACCACACTTGCAGGCAGGAGATGATTCAGTGCATTAATGTAAAACAGCTGTTTTTATGTTTCACCTTGTTGACGGTTAATAATGTCTTTTTAATAACTCTGAGTCGTTTAGTAAAAACAGGCCTCCTGTGCCAAGCCGTGGGTTCAGTCTCAGACTGTGTTCTTGCTTCAGAACGATTCGATGATCATTCGAGTGCAGGTCAATAACAGCACTGTGCACTTTGATACTGAAATGGAGACGGAAGAATTTAAAGTTAGAAATTAACATTACAAACCAGTCTTTTGATTAAAAATTCTGCCAAAACAAAATCTTTAACAAGTGATGTGAAGCAGCCAGGTTTGGATTATCTTTGGACCTGATATTTGAGATGATTATCACACCATCAGTGTCCAAATCTGACGTCTGGAATAAGACTTCTAAAGATAGAAAATTTATTTTACACAGGTTTAACACAGAAGGCTTCACTTCGTTTTAAATTCACCACTTTATTTAAAATCTATAAAGAGAGAGAGATCCTCAGATAAATCCATCTCCCACTGGCAGCCTGTAATCTTTTCAGCGGCTCGTCACGTGAAGAGATTTAAATCAAAGAAGGTGAGAAATCAGTCGCCTAAAAAAGAAAAAAAAAGTGTTTTAAAGAGACATCTAGAAATATGTTGTTATTTAACTTGGTGTTTTATAACACGGCTGAAGACACAGCAGAAACAGGAAGTCACGGCGGCAAAGTTTCTACCAAAATCAGATTTTATTACAAAAACAATAATCAAGTCTATCATGTCTGTAATATCTGACACAATAATAATAATGATAATAACTAATACACAGTGTCCATGTAGAGATTCTGTGTTTGTCCAAAGAGACTGATTCCTGTCCGTCCAGCAGGAGCAGGAGGAGGTGTGGAGGAGGTGTGGAGGGGTCATCATGCAGAGGTGTCACTCTGCTTGCTGCTGTGGACTTCCTTCCTCTGGAGGACCTGACTGGACAAACTCTCCACATCCGCCACGTGAGCCAGTAACTGTGTGAGAGAGGTGTTCTGATATACAGAGAAAAGAAGAAGAAGAAGAGGGGTTAAATATGTGTAGTTACTGTATACAAACATGATCATGTGTTGTGAGTGGACACAGTGAGGTCATGTGACTGACCAGCTGAGTCAGGTGGTCTCTGGCGGCGGGACTGCAGCGGACTGAGTTCAGGTTCTCCTCCAGAGTCTCGATGAAGTCCAGCAGCATCTTCACCACGTCCACCACGAACCTGAAACACAGCACGCCATCACAGCTCCAACTGGGGACATACTGGGGACAAATGGGACACACTGGTCTCTGTCTGTATTGTTCCAGTTTCATAATATGAGCTGGAGGTGGTGATTTCAGGTCTCAGGATATCAACTGGTGTTGCCAACAACGTCTCGGTTTTCCTGCTTGTACTGGAACGCGATCAACTTGGGTGTGGCATCATTTCCAGCTTCAGCTACCGAGTTAAATGCAACGCAGCTTATGTGTCAGACAGACATTACCTGTGCAGGTGAGCCTGAACAGGCAGGTTGGTGCGACCCAGTGGTTTCATCAGTCTCTGCCTCAGACTGTTCTGATCCTTCAGGAGCTCCTGTAGGTGACTGCAGAACATCTGTAACATCTGGAACCTCTGAGCTGCAGGAGACACCAAACTGTGTGAGGTCAATCAGATTTTTAGACACAGCTTTTGTATGACTGTTTGTTGGGTTTGTTATTGTTCCAACAAGTCTCCACATTTCCTCCTGTTTCACTGTTAAATCTTAAAAGTTCACCTGGTGATGAGTTTTATAACTTCAGCAGTGGGTGAGGAGGAAACACACAAATCAGTGTATGTTTAAAATACTGATGAAACGTTGAGAAGTTTGTTTTAAGTCCAGGTAAGTTTGTGGATTCTTCTGATTCTCAACAAATCTCATGCATGTAAAAAAGAAAAATCAGCAGACGTTTGTTTAGTTCTCGTGTGAAACAAAAACACTTACTGAGGTAGAAACTGTGCGTGACGTCGGCACTCTGCTTCTCCATCTGCAGCAGCTCCACCTCCAGCTGCAGCTGCAGCAACAAACAATAACTCAACACGTTAACAATGTTTATCTTTGATTAGAAAACACAGATCTGACTGCACACATGGAAAGGATTAAGATGAACAGGACACTCATAATAAAAAACATTAAAATAATCTGCAGGTTTTTGAACTCTTTTAACTTAGGTCCAGTTCATTGATGATGTTAAATATTTCCAGGTGCTCGGACACAAAGGAAGTGACATCAGACTGAAGTGTACCTGATCCAGCTCTCTCTGCATTTTGATTCGTTGCTCAGCCTCGTGCAGGTGAGAGGAGAAGGCGGGGCTCAGCCTGGAGGAGGCGGAGTCTATTTCCTCCTGGGGACAGGTAGAGACAGAAGAACATGAGGATCTTCATTATTTACAGACTTAATCAGGAAAGAGTTGGTTCTGTTGGAACATGACTGTGACGTTTATTCATCTATCGTTACATCCACTTTTTTCTCCACCTAATTTTAGTCTCTTCTGTAGTGGAATTAACATATTATACACATATACTCTTACAATGACGGTCCACCAGCAGATAGAGACATGAAATACAATATGGCTCAATGTATGTAATATTCATTCATTGTGATGAATAAGAAAAAGCACTTTGGACAATTCTTTATTTATTTTAAAGCTGATATCAGCCGATACCAATGACGTGCTGATATTATCGTGCATCTCTAACTACATGAAAGAATATAACCTGCTCTGACCTGAGACAAAATTCCTCTAGAGACACATCTGGACAGCAGGCTGGCAGCTGGAGTCACTGAGAACGGACACAAATCCCACTGATCCATCTGAAACACACAGAGACAGAAATAAAGTAAAGAAGAACATATCCATCACCATCAGAACTACACAAATTGAATTCCAATATGCCAGACACATGCTTTAATGCTACAGGAACACTCTTTCACTGCTTGTGGGAATGTAATGTGATCAAGTTTTTGAAAGGAGGTTCTTGACATGATTCACCAGGTAACAAAATGAAATCCCTGGTCAGCCAAAGCCGTGCATCGCAAGTGTTTGTCCAAAAGATTTACAAGAAGACTGACCATGCACTAATAGACTTGTGTTTCTCACAAGCTAAAAGAGTAATAGCTATAAGATGGAAAGATGTGAACAAACCAAGTATGAATCAGTGTAGAAAGAATTTATCAACGTGTTGCTGTGGAAAAACTGACATATACTACTGAAGGAAAGCTGACAGTGTTTGAAAAATATTTGGGGAGCTTCATGGAGTTTTTGAAACATAGTGTTTATAATGTTTAATAAAACCAAAGACTGGAGTGGGGGCAGGGCAAGTGCAGTAGCCCATGTGTACTTCATGATTACTGTTTACCACTTTAACATCTGTTTACTCACCTCTGTTTTCATGCTTTTTTGCCTTTTCATTTGGTGATTTACCAAATTTGCTGCCAAGACTGACTATTCTACTTTATGTAATATCTTTTAGAATTGATAACCCAACAAAAACATAGTTTTAAAAAAGAAATACAGTAAAGAAGCTAAAGCAAATAAGCTCCACACGTAGCTTATGTTATGGAGGAAGACGACTCCAACAACAGGAAACGTGTATATATATGTAACCCTGATTTTTCTCTACTCAGATGTTCTGTGTTGTACAGTACATATGCCGAACTGATGTCTGGTTCTTAAAGACTCAAAATCTCACTGAATTTTCTTCTAAAAGTTCTGTATGTTAAAACAAAATACAAGACAACTTTAAAGTGAGCGATTTTTAAACGCGACTTGGCGAGGATACAGCGCGGGTAATGAAGACAGCCACAGAGTGTAATTTGACGGTAACACTGAGTCCGTTAGATGATATGAAGCTGTACACAAAACCACAAACAGTTTAGTAAGAGTTTAATGTTTGTTCTTACCGTTTACACAGCAGGATGTTCCTCTCTGAAACATCAACAACGGCTCCAACTGAACCCGCCCTGCGATTTGTCTTCTTCTTCTTTGAGGTTTAATGGCAGCTTGTGCCCGTTACTGCCACCCTCTGGACTTTTTAGAGAGTTTCCGGTACTTTTCACGTCACTTCGACTCTGAAATACTTTTACTTTACTTAAATATTTCCATTTTCTGCCTCTTTATACTTCTACTACATCTCAGAAGGAAATATTGTACGTTTTACTGCCCTATCTTATAACTTCAGTGAGGCCTGCTGTGGTGGCGGTGTTGCACCGGAAGCTGTTTGCAAACCGCTAATACAATCAAAAGAAGAAGAAGAAGTGACGTAACGCTTTCCGCTCTTCCCATTGGCTCACGCAGCCGTTCAGTCCCCAGTGTAGCAGGGCGTCTTCTTTCTGCTCACTTTTAGTTTTATACTAATATTTTATTAAACAGTGTTGGAAACATTTGGACAAAAGGCGCCATTTTAAGTGTTCGCTTTCATGTAAGTAAAACGGCCTCGTTTCCTGTTTGTTTAGTTGTGTTCATGGCGGCTAGCAGGCTAACGTTAGCATGCTAGCACGACGTTAGCTCCTGATTCACACCCACAAACATAAATGTGTGTTTTTACTGTGTGTTTACTGAGAGCTGTCGGGTTGTTTGTTAGCTGGTTAAACATCACACCAGTGTTCCATATGTTTTATTATTATTAAGATATTATTACATTATTGTCAAGCTAATGCAGCTAGCTCCTCCAGCCTGTTGCTTGTTGTTGTTGTTGATTACTCTTCTTCTGCAGGGATTTCACCGCCTGATCTCATTAACACCGACCGAAGAAGAAGGAGAGGGGCGCCTGTAAAGCTGTCAGCTGATCCCGGGACTCACATTCATCCTGTCTGGATATGAACGCAGAGATTAGCTTCACTTTAGCTCCAGTTTTACTGCAGTAGATAGAGAGTGGAGCTGCATCACCACTGTGTTTGACAGACAGACCGACACCTGGCTGCAGGGTCCAGATGGGGAACAGTGCACTGAAGTCTCACCTGGAAACCTCCCAGAAGACTGGGGTGTTCCAGCTGACAGCGAAGGGACTGCAGGAGGTGAGACACACACACCTGTTCATGACGTCACTGTGTTTATGGTTCAGTATTAAACAGATTTGCAGTGATGACGCTGCTCCAGGCTCAGAAATAATCTGCTGTTTAAACCAAAAACAGTCAGAAACCAAAGTCACGACACGTCATGTGACTATGTTTGTTCTGATTTTAATTCTGTTTGTCACCAAAAACCCAACAAAACACACACAGTCTGACATGTGACAAAAGACAGAAAAGATCAAATTAACAATACATAGCATTTATTAAAGCCTGATCACTTCTAAGTAAATATATCTCCAAACAAAATCATGTCAGCTGTCACGTTACAGACTCAGTGCCATATAGATGTGATTGTTGAAGCTATTATACATCATATATTGATTAGTCGTGTGCATTAAGAGATTGTTCTCTGTCTCTTCTCGATATCAAACTTCAATCGATCAAACTTTAATTGTACAGCACCTTTAATACACATTAGTGCAGTTCAAAGTGCTTCACAGATGACTGATATGCTGATAAACAGAACAATTGTGCACCATAAAAACATTTTTTTAAAAAGACAAAAATGAATTCACAATTTGTGACCAATGCACATGAAACAATAAAAAAATGAAAATATAATAAAGTAGATTTGAAGCTACAGAACTGCACTTTCTCCTCATTGTTTTTGAGCTCTTTGTCTGTCAGTATTTGTGTGGTGTTGATCTTCAGGTCAGTCTGAAGTGTTTCCTGCTGCTTGTGTTGTTTCAGTTTCCTGAGGAGCTGCAGAGACTCACCGCTAACCTGCGGACAGTCGACCTGTCAGGGAACAAGATCGAGGTTCTTCCTGCCGGCATTGGAAACTTCCTGCAGCTCAAGAGTCTGACGCTGAACTCCAACAGACTCAGTGAGTGTTTGATGTGGGAAACAGCAGAAAAAGACACAATACAAAAGTTAGATGTATCTACTTACGACCTTCAGTTTAGTTTAAGTTTTACTTTAATAGTCATATGTAGGTTAACACAGGGTCAGAGGTATAGCGACATGTATTAGACACGGTCAGATCAGCAATAACAGAAAAAGTCACAGTGAGCATAAACAATATAGGTAAAGATACAATTAAATAAAAATAAAGATGAAATAGATAAAATAAGATAAAAATGAAATAATATAGAGGTAAAATAATATGAAAAAATAAATGAAGATACAGTTACATAAAGAAATAGACAAAAAAAATAAGAAAGATAAAATTAGATAAAATAAGAAAAGTAAAGATATAGTTATATAAAATAAAGATGAAATTGTTAAAAATAAGGATTTAAAAAAAGACTTAAGGTAAGATAAAGATAAAATAATGTATGTAGAGACAAATTAAGATAACTAAAGATAAATTAGATTAAGATAACATAAGGTAATCAAACATAAAATAGATAAAAATATGATAATTAAAGATAAAATAAGATAAATAGATATAAAATTAGATAAAGATAAAATAAGATGAATAAAAACAAAAGTAGATAAAAAAAAATCAAGGTTAAAAACCAAAGATAAAATAGATAAAAATCAAAACAAAATATAATAATTAAAGATAAAATAAGATAAATAAATACAAAATTAAATAAAGATAAAATAAATATCAAACAGTATAAATAAAATAAGACAAAAGATTAAGTAGATAAAAAATAAAGATAAACTACATAAAAAATAAAACAAGGTTAAAATAAAGATAAAATTCATCTAAATAAAGATGTGTTTGTTTTTGTCACTGACAGGCTCCAATTGTTATTCTAAGCGTCTGACAGCATTATGAAAGGATCCCTACAGAGATAGAGCTTTGTGTTAAAGAGTAAGATCCTTTTTGTTTCACCAGAAGCCGCCCTGAAATCACCATCACCAAACCCACCAGACTCCATTCAAATAAACAGTCATTTTAGCGTGTACAGAGGCAGCATGTTGTCACATCTGACTGGGTGAATTAAGGGTTTAATTCAACCAAACCAGAGCTGGTGATTGTTGGAACAGCGGAAGATGAACCAAGAAGTCTTTGTTGAGTTTTATTTAGTTTCAGTCGACTTTAAACAAAGTGTGTTTTATGATGACAAAATTACTGTTTATTTTAATGGAGTCTGGTGTGATGCTGATTTCTGGTTAAACAAAAAGATCTAACACTTTTCAGAGAGTGAGATCTAAACACATTGAGGTCATCATCAGACCTGGTTCTGGTGTGATCCGGATCGTCATGTGACCCGTTAACATCCCTACATGTTGTATTTCAGCCAGTGTTCCCAGTGAAATCGGAAAGCTGAAGAAGCTGGAGACTCTGAGTCTGAATGGGAACCGGATCCAGCAGCTGCCCCCGACTCTGAACCAGCTCAAAGCCCTGCGGACCCTCAGCCTGTCCGGGAACCAGATCTCTGAGTTCCCCGCAGGACTTGGAGCCCTGAGGCACCTGGACCTGCTGGACCTGTCCCGCAACCAGATCCAGAACGTCCCCGCAGCCGTGTCAGAGCTGCAGGCCATCGAGATCAACCTCAACCAGAACCAGGTACCATGAGTACAGAATTGCCACGCCACGGAATGATAAACAGATCAGACACGCCTCGTACTGTCAAACATATGGATTAATTATCGACTCTGCTTCCTCCTCCTCCTCCTCCTCCTCCTCCTCCTCCTCCTCCTCCTCCTCCTCCTCCAGATCTCGATGCTGTCAGAGGAGGTGTCCAAGTGTCCCCGTCTGAAGGTCCTCCGTCTGGAGGAGAACTGTCTGGAGCTGTCGTCCATCCCCCAGTCCATCCTGAGGGACTCGCAGGTGTCTCTGTTCTCTGTGGAGGGAAACCTGTTTGAGGTGAAGACCCTCAGAGACCTGGAGGGCTACGACAAGGTGAGGACCACTTCCTGTCACGCTGCATTCAGGGCCCGTGGGAGAGAACACGCTGCACTGTTCAGAATGCTCCCTGCTGGTCTCTGTTGGCTTTACTGGTTTAGAATTGTCTGTACTGGTTTTAAATGCTTTATAATGATCTGTACTGGTTTATAGTGTCTTTAATAATAAAATAGTGGGCCATATTTGTCTTATAATAATGTTTATGATTGTCTGTACTGGTTTATTATGGTCTGTAATGGTTTTATAATGATATGGAACGAAGCAATGGTCCCTGTTGGTCTTTGTTGGTATCTAATGGTCTGTACTGGTTTCTAATGGCCTGTACTGGTTTCTAATGGTCTGTACTGGTTTATACTGGTCTGTACTGGTTTCTAATGGCCTGTACTGGTTTCTAATGGTCTGTACTGGTATATAATGGCCTGTACTGGTTTATAATGGTCTATCCTGGTTTATACTGGTCTGTATTGATTTATCATGGCCTGTACTGGTTTATAATGGTCTCTACTGGTATCTAATGGTCTGTGCTGGTTTATAATGGTCTGTACTGGTTTCTGATGGTCTGTGCTGGTCTCTGTTGGTCTCTCCTCAGTACATGGAACGTTTCACAGCCACCAAGAAGAAGTTCGCCTGAAGACACTCGATGACGAGTCTTAACGTCAGAGCCCAACCTGGAGGCGGGGTCAGCTGAGACTCCGCCCACCACCACCCCTGCTGCTGCTTCTTCTGCTGCAACAAACAAACAGTAATAATGGACCTCATACAGCCGGGACAGTCCTCCTTACAGCACCACCCCTCTACCCCCACCCTCGCCTTCTGCTGCTGCTGCTGGATGAAGAACAGACCAGCTGCTTCCTGTCTGACTCATTTAACCTGCAGACAGACAGACAGGTGGACAGACATGGCGGTCTCTGGGAGTTTCACATGGAAACAGACGACATGAAGAAACAGATTTAACACGAGAGGAGGAGGAGGAGATGATGAAGGTGGTGAACCTTCACTGTGTTTCCAATCAACAGCAGAGACTCAGGGACGCGTTCACGTTAACACAACGTTCACTAACGTTCACTCTGATGTTTGTCTCTTTAATTTATTGTCTCCTTTAACCTTTAACTTCCTCTGAATATAAACACAAACATTTAAACACAAACATTTCATCA